TATTTACTGTAGTGCTTGTTCGTGTGTAATCCACCTATAGCAGAACCCATCTAGTGCACAGGGCTCCTAAAACATTTTACAGGCGGACCTGTGTGGACACATACATCAGAAATGCTCACATGGGTCAAAACCACATCATATAATTTTATGTGAGAAATCTGTCCGGGTTTATTTCCCCTGTTCTTTTCCCGCCCTCCTGGAAAAAAAGGAAAAAAAATGGAAAAAAAAGAAAAATGAGCCACTGACTCTGTTTGGACAAGCTTTATAACAGGCAAGTTTAACGTTGCAGGGCTGATCCTTATATCCTTTTCTCAAACAGGAAAGTTCCCCGATGATGTCCATGGCATTTCAGTAATTTCCTCCGTGAGGACAGATGTAGGTACCTCCATAGAGGCTTTCCTGGCTCTCAGATCCCGTCCACTGAGACTCAGCTCCCAAGAATCCCTTTCATCCCCATGGTTCTTTAGACATCAGGGAAGGTTTCCTACCTACAAGGCAGATGCTAACTAGTTAGTGGTGGGGAGCAAACCATTTTTCAACCCTCTGAAGAAAAAAATAGTTATTAACTCAAGCTTTTTTCCCTCTTCTTTTCAGTATAAAAATGCTGAGTGAGYAATAGATCTTATGCCAGAATAGTAAATAACCCTGTGGTTAGGATGTTCCCTAGAGATGCTTAAGGCCCAAGGTCAAGTCCCTTTGCAAAGCCGGGATTTACACCCTGGTGTGCCGCATCCCAGGAGAGCCTCCATCCTGGACTGAAACAACGGTCCTGGTGGGAGCTGTGCTGAGAGCAGCACCTTTCGGATTCAAGCTTTATTCTTTTGGTGGAATGTTTCAATTAAATTTGCTGGAAATTTCCCTGCTGCCCTTGAGGTTACTGATTGAGCTATTGCATTGCTATGGGACTGTGAAGAACCCCATGCTGTCACATAGCTGAAAATTTCCTCCGTAATTTCATCCCATTGCCTCAGTGGTAACCCTGGAACAATTCCAAATAATCGTATAAGCCCCATTTTCACCAGTTTAAGGCTGTTGGGGCTTGGGGGATGTACCAAGTTATTGATAGGGTAATTTTCCCCCTTGAAATAGTCTGTCCTGGAGGAATATTCTATCTGATCCTCCTACCACTGAGTTTCCCTAGGCCACCTTCACTGGTCTCTAGAGCTGGATGTGGGCAAGATGCTGTTGGAAAGGGTGGGCCAAGGGAGTGGATCCTGGCAGAGGAGCTGAGTGCCTGGGTCCTACCCTTGGCTCCGTGGTCTGGGGCCACCACTTTGTCCCTCCTTGGCCTCCTTCCCTTCCTCCCGCAGGCCTTGGGGACTGACTGTGTGTCCATGCAGCTCCCAGCATGGGAAAGTCCTGTGTTTGCTTGATTCCCCCCAGGCACCGCTGTAATGCAAATAATAAGAGATCTGAGCATCTTTGCTCTTACTCCTTTAATAAAATTAAATATGTATTTTAAAGGTGAGCTCCCGAAGGCCTCCTGGTTTTCCTGTTTTTTTTTTTTGTGTTTACTGCCCAGGCTCATTTGCAGCGTGGATTGTGCACGAGGCTCCAACGTTTCCGTCCTCACAAGAGGCTGGAGCCGGGAGTTGCAAGCAGAGCCGTGTCCCGCACGGGGCAGCCTCGGCCCGCCCGGGGGCTGCTCTCCCCAAGCAGAGCCACATTAAAGTGTGCCATAAAATTACAGCCTGCTTTTCTGTAAAGCTGGGTTTCTGCTTTCCTGGGCCTGGCTTTGAGCAGTCTCTGCGGGCTGYGGGTACCCTCTAGCGGGGTGCAGGCTCCAGTACCTGTGTGGTAGCTCTTCTTATCCTCCGTGCTTATCCTGATAGCTCTCCACCACATAACATGGAAGGGAGAACACCTGGTAAGTCTGTTCAGCTTCTAAAAGCCAAAATCCGTGGCTGCTCCTGCTCGTGGAAGGTGTCAGATTCCCAAAAAGGAGTCCATCCAGGGGGAAGATGCTCTTCAGCATCTCAGTTTTTGCAGCCGCCCTGTTCAACGAGGCCTAACCCAGCTGAGCTGAGCTCAGTGCTGAGCTCAGTGGCTTCTGGAAACCAAGGCCATGTTGGAGGGGAAGCAGCCTGTCAGATTTTTGTCCAGCCAAGGCTCCAGTGTATTATTTACATTCAGGTCTCAGCAGTTTGCAATCCTGGCTGGCTCAGTTTCACTCCCGAATTTTTTACAGCGCTCTGCTGGAAGGTGGCTTGACTTCCAAGTGGCAACACGGCTGGTTTCTGGAAGGATTAAATAAATAAATAAATAATAAAAATTAAAAAAAAAAAAAAAAGGAAAACTCTTTAACGACAGCAAAATACACATGCAAAAAAGAAGCTTCCGCTCACTCTGCTGGAAATGCCATTGCCCTCCCTTACAGAGCATCATTTTTCCCTTGCCCGCCTCAGAGCTGAGACTAGCTGTTACTTGGCTTTAAAAAAAAAAGAGGTAGCTCCATCTAGAGGTTTTTGAGCACAGATGAAGACCTGATGTTCATAGTTCCTCACATAATACTGTGTGCATGGAGGTGCTTTCTCTTTTYTGCAGTGTGGCTCCACCTTCCAATTTCTAAATGCTTTATGGATTTTGTATGTGCACAGTTTGSGGCTTGCCAGCAGAAATGGGATGAGCAGGGAGGTTCTGTGAGTTATTTCTCCCTTCTTCTTCCCAGGCAACATGGGACTTCTCGACGTGGTTTGCAAGAAGCTGATGCTGATGTATGGGGCTGATCTCAACAGAAGGGAGAGTGTCACTGCAGTCACCACTACWGAGTGTGAATGGGGACATCCAGGCAACTTATTCCTATGTGTGCCACCAACATATGCATTACTGAAAATAGGAATTGAATGTTTTTTATCTTGGGATGGCATTTTGGTGTCACTGGGGTCTTACATTCAGATTTTAAAGATCCCACTAAAAGTGAGCTTTCCTGCTATCAGCACCAAGGAAAGAAGAAACAGACTGATATCTCTTGCACAGCACATCCCAGAAGTGCTGKCCTGCCCCAGTACTCTAATTGTGTGTATAGGGACTGAAGAAGAAAATCTGTATTATGTGGAGTTCAAAGGAGATGCACAATAGCATCTAAGTGTTTCTTTTCTTTATAGTGACTTAGTCCAGGTAGTTGCTCCCTTCTCCTTTCGACCATGTTTCTCTACCATTATAGTCTTCTCAGTATCATTTTAACTCCATTCATTCTTACCACTGCCTGCTGCCTTTTCAATCTCCATCTATTCTGTAAGTCTGAAAGAGATGACAGCTCTTAGGCCTGCTGAAGAACGTATAGCTAAATTGAGAATACCRGTGAACTCCTGCAATTCAGGGGAACAGAGTTCAGCACTTGTGAGCTGGGGAAATGAACGTGCAGTTCCTGGTACATTCATCAACAATAATCCTGGAAGGGTTGTTTTTSATGAGAAAAAGCAGTTTAACCAGAGACAGGGCAGGAAACTGCAAGATCAGCCTTAGTTTTGACCAAAAGAAGCAGCCCAAGGACTTGCTCATCCTTTCTCRGTGTTAAAGGAGTCAACTCAGTTATTATTAGCTAATATACTGAGTCTCCATCATGTTCTTGTAGTAGCCACACAACTTCAACACATTTTTCTCTCTCCTTATTCTATTTTCTGTCAAAAAATAAGTAGACTAAGGAATAATATTCACATTAGAAAAACATTTCTGGSGGATATTTTGTATGCTTGGTTCTTAAAGCAGTTCTCTGGTAATCACYGCAGTGCTTTTGTGCAACAAGTTCCCTGCCAGTTGCTGTTTCATCTGCTTCGATTTCAGACTCTCCCRTGAGAACCAGGCAGTTGGGCACAATTTGTGCTGATTTCTCACAGAGATTATTTTGCATTCAATGCAAGACTTCCCAGAGCCAAAGAGCAGCAGCTCTTGCAGGTGTGAGCCCCACTGCTCACAAAGCAGCTCTCCGTGACCAGCAGAGACCATCTCCCAGGGACACCATGTAGGTGCCTGCACAACATCCTGCAACACATCTGTCCTGTTGAGCAACACAGCTGAAGGTGCCTTGTCTTGTTCCTGCACACAGGTTTTGCTCTAGCTATGTCCAGTAAGAAGGCACAGCTGTGGAAGCGTTGCTCTGTAACCTTCCTCCAGGCTATCTAGGCATCTTTCTGTGCTCCTGTGCCTGATCAGGGCCTGTATTGCAAAGACAAGGGCAGCTGGCTCTTCACAGAGCTAGCACAGGTTTGAAGGCTCTGGAGCTCACTAGAAAAATTTGCTTCTCTGATTGGAAACAGCAGGGATCATTTTCCTTGATCTCAAACAAAGCTACCCACTACCCTGGTGATGGGCTCTGCCCTGACTCTCCTTCCAGAATCTTAAAGTAAGTTTGCATAGGACTTTTATTGTGCTCTTCAGTTGCTGTGGAAGGATCTTTTCACTGTTGAACTGACAGCTAGATCCCTGGAGAAAGAAAATGCCTGATGATCTGGGGCCATTCCTAGCAAGTCTCCCCTGATGTCAGCTTCTTAATGGCATAATGTGCACATCCTTGGGCTTCTTAAATACTTCTAAATTTCTCATCCAGCAGGTTTTGTTGCACAATGTGGCGGCATGTAGGAAAGAGGATAGGAAGGATGCTGTTATCAGAAGCGCTGATAGAGGGGAAKTTTTGTCAGAAGTGTCTCATTTACAGGCAGGAGAGAGAAGCTGACTCATTTCTTTCAGTGCCCTGTGTCACAGCCCTACACTTCCCCCTGCAAATACATAAGGGACACTGGCATGGGAATACAAAGTAGAATTTAATCTCTGCTCTAGGAGTAATAGAAGCACTTTCTAATTGTCTGTGATGGTCCTAAAAACAGTAGTGTCTTCAGCCTTTTCTTAGCAAAAGAGCTTTTTTCATAGCAAAATCTCTCCCCTTTTTCCTCTTGATGCCCACACCACAAGACCATTGGTGCAAAAGCACACACAATGATCTTGGAGATAGCACCCACCTRACTTCATTTGGCCAAATTTACACTCGATGATCTTTCTGATTTACTAAGGTCTGTAGTGGGTGAGATAGATCATTCACACCATATGTGGCTTTATAGGAGGAGAGACGAACCTGTGGCTACAAGCATCATGAATAACTGCAGTGCAGTAGAAAAAGCCCAAATGCACAAAAARCAGTATTTGTTTTGGTCTCATTAAATATATCCTTCCCTGCAGAGGGTAAACCACAGTYACTTCACGTATCTCCAGCTCTTCGTTCCTCATAGTTGTCTTGCAACACCAGTCTGGTCTGACACTGATTGCCAGGAGCCTGGAAGATCCTGTTTGCAAACAGCATCAACAACACATTCTGAGTAAGTGTCTCTTCCCTCATTTGGGCATCACGGCACTGAAGGTTGAGGAAAGCTCCTCAGACTGCTTCACAGAAACTATCTTCATGACAGATCGTTGCTGGTCCTTTGTGACATTTTGATCCTGATATTGTTTTTCCATTGCTTGGAATTGAATTGGAGTGAAGAAGCCAGAGCCAGTGAGGTGGGTGCATCACAGGTCTTCACAATGAGGAATCTCTTCCAAAGTTCAGCTCGATAATATTGAGTAATACCCTTCATGTACAGATGTTTGCAGGATTGTGGCTTTGAACTTATTCTTAAACCAGAATACCAGAGGAGACTTCTGCAGCTGTCTGGTCTAAATACCTGTGTAAGACAGAACGAGGTGTCCCATATTTGATGCATCAGTACTAACCAGGAGGAAATAACAGATATTTTTAAACGTGGACTTTAATGAAATAGAGAGAGAGACCATGAATGAAACAAAAAAGTGAACCATGAATGAAATACCCATTAAGGTATCTTTTGCTTAAATCTGATTATTTTATATGCGTTTGAATGGAAACAGCTGCCCATCAGAAGGATACAGAAAAATCAGAAAAAYGGAAGCTACACCAAATGCCCAGTATCTCAGAGATCTTTGGGTTAGGGGAGAGGTTTTTTGGTAGCTGCAGTGGCAGGAGGGGCTGCCACGTGAACTGACTGTCTACATGGATGTCCTGAGTGTGACACTCACGTTTGGGAATAAGCAAGGAGCTGAATTATAAATAATGGGGCAAGACTGCTGGGAAAGAAATAAACCCCAGAAAACCAAAACAATCAGTTTGTTCTCCAGAGTTTCCTGTACAAGTAATAAAATCTAATAACTAAGTCGCTGTTAACAGTTAATGACCAGTGCATTTGTTAATGGACCCAGACAAATGAGAGCAGTTTAATACAACAAACAGGCCATTAGTTCTATTAATGATTGGCTTGTAGGAGTTAGTGCTCTTATAAACTATATTCTGCAGTTTATAATACCAGCACTTTATAAAGTGAGCTGGTGTTTTCCAAAAAAAATAAAAAATAATACGGATCAGGTGAGCTCCAGTTTGTTTATAGAAAACAAGTCACCATCCTAACTAAGAAAAGCTGATAAACCTTTATTTCTAGTTTATACTGGCATAAAGCAGGAGCAACAGCAGACATGCAAGCAAGGAGTGACTCTTGCCTAGCTTAAATAACTGGCAGCTTTGCCTTGACTTCATTGAGTTCTGGATTGATCCCATAATTATTATCATTAGAGAGGAACTTGATTTTTTTTWAATTTTTGTTTGTTTCCAGACCAGATGATTCCACGCATGGAATATTCAGTTTTTAGCAGCTGTCATTATTTAGAAGTTTAACAAGCACTCTTATAGAAAGAACTATAAAAGAGAAGTTGTATAAATAGCCTAAAATTAATAGAGGAACTAAATGGAGTTACTTCCTGCTTCACTGGTTTCTACAACTATTTTACTTCTTTGCATTTTAAATGTATTTAACTGCAGTTCCAYTTACAAGAAATGTCAGTAGGATTTTTGCAGCAGTAGTTGGGAAAGCCRAAGTTTTCCCACTGCTTTACAGACTGTCCTCTGAATGTAACCAGTATTTGGTAGAAATCTAAAATGGAGCAATTCAGGCATTTGCCTTTAACTTGCCAAATGGGGAYGATACTAAATTATTAGAGATTTATAGGTTACTAGCGAAGGGAATAATGCACACTGTGGTAGGAAATAGAAGTGGAAGCTTTTACGTAGTGTGTGGATTTTCCTAGAGCTGTGATGTGAAGTGAGGCCAGGCCTAAATCATCAAGTTCCAACAGGGCTTAGCTCAGTGCTCTGACTTAGTTTGCAGAGCCAAATTCCAGATTTTCAAGCTAGACTACAAAAAAATACCCACAAAGTTATCCTTAAAATGATTRTGGCTTTAAGGACAGAGCCACAGGCAAGAGCAGAGCCACAGATTTCTTCTTTTCTTTGGCCATTCATTCATCTACAGGCAGTAGTGGCCAAGCCAGTTTCAAGAAGGGTCATTCCTGCCTTTTCTCCCTTAGATATGACCAAATCCAGAGGGATTTGAGAAGAGCCGTGCTGAATCCTTCCTGAACTCACCATATCCCAGTCCTACTGTTCCCAAGAGTGGCCACTAACAGGCTTCGGAGTGAGAAATAGGATGCTGAAGCAGGAAAGGGTAAGAAATAAGGGAAATGCAAAGTAGTCCTTGCTCTGGCATATCCTCCCAGCTGGCAGTGGCTTTAGGACCAGGGTCGATGGCCACTACTGAGTCTGTCTTCCATGAATGTCTAAACCCTTCACGAGGGTGTTTATGGCTTCCATTTTTGGGACYGTACATTGTAACTGTGTGAAAAGGTGTTTGCTTCTCTGTGCTTTAATCCTCCTACCTCAGAACTCCTTTGGGTGCCCCTAGGTCTGGTGTGGGCAAGAGTGAATAAACCTTCCTCATGCATCTTGCTCATACAGTTCATGATTGTACAACTCGCCMTTGTGTTTTCCCCTACAGTCATTTCTTCCCAGGCTGGAAATCCTAACCAAGGCAGCCTCTCTCCCTTCCCAAAGCCCTTGACCATCTTTGCCATCCGTTTTGATACCTTTTTGGCAGTTTCAGTGCATGGGGTCATCAAATGAGCACTGCTGGGCAAGCATACAAACATATCTACAAACAAGTTTTGTAGATATCTCTGTAAATATTTTTCAGCTTACTCTTTTGCTGTACTGGTGTCATTTGAAAAAGGGATTTTTGCTGTTCTAGTCTATTCCTGTACCTGCAGCAGCCTTATATGCCCTCTTAGGTGGAATCCTGTACTCCTTTGAATTTGCAGAGGAGTGCAATATTTAACCTGGGTAAGGATGATCTTTTCTAGTTTCACCTGTGAACTGCAGTTCACACAGGTTTGTTTAATGATGCCAGGAGTTTGTTCGACCTTTCTTTACATGTTTGTTTTCAAAGCAGTCTTTTGAAATGTGGAAAGTGGAAATAAAGAATGTGATTCTTTTCTGTAGTTTTTGAGATGGAGGGAGCACCGGTGTTGCATGCAATAAAAATGTCACGGGTGCAGGGACTATATGCAGCCCGAGTGCTCGTTTTGGGTTTGCTCTTGAGTCTGTTTCAGCCCTGTGAACCCCTTGAGGCCTCAAAATGAATCAACCTGCCGTTTTTCAGCGCTCCTGCTGAGGAAGAGGAGGGAGAAGCCAAGCTCCTGCAGACACCTGGCACGGCGAGCTGTGCAAGGAGGTTCAACACAGCCATCACCAGATGGTGCTGCTGCCTGCAGCCTTGCAAGGTCATCATGTGCAGGGCCGCTTTGATTCCTGGAAAAAAGTAAAATACAGAATTAGGGCTGTTTTCCTGCTGCTTGGATACCTGGAGAGTAGGCAGGGTGAGTGTTTGCTGGCTTCGTGTTGCTGGTCAGTCCTCTCTGGGAACAGGACTTTAGGTTTGGCTTAGAGCTCGGAGCAAGGGGAGGGTTTGGATCCGGTGCGAGATGAGCTGTTCCAGGCTGTTTCAAGCGGGTAAACAAAATTAATTAGATTCTTATCATATGATCCCACAGGATTGATTTTTCCCCCAATGGAAAACTGAATAGCAATGTGCACTGCTGCTCAATAGGAATATTTATCAGGATAGCTTACCTGTGGCATTTATTTCTTCCCTATATTTTTTACTTTTTTTTTTTTTTTTTTGGATCAAAAATAGGGCCAAGAGTCAGGTTGTGAGCCATCTAAGAGAGTCCAATGAGCCATGGTATAGAAAAAGATGTTTTTGTCTGCTATTACATATTAAATATCATTGTAGCAGGTGTTTTAGGAGAGCAAGAATCCCTTGTGTGATTAAGCAGAGGAAACAGCACAGCCAGAATCTTAAACAAGCAGATTTTGGTCTTTTTTTTCTTTTTGTGCTACTATGTTTAAGCCAGTTGTGCCTTCTAACAAGCTTCATGAGAAGGTTTTTTATCTTTTCTTCCTCAGAAAATTGAGGGGAAAAAAATTCAGAGGAAGATTTTGATGGCATTACAGCAGTATTTGTGATATCATATTTTCTGTTATAATTCACATTTATCTATTAGCTGTCCAAGTCTCCAACCCCAAGAGCTTTTACATCTAACCTGATACTCAGACTTCCAAAAGGGTTTATCTACACTGTTGGGGGAACCTACAGAGGCTTTTGTTTCCATATGGGAAATATATCCACTGGAAGAAACTTAGAGGCACCTCAGACTTCCTGTGATAAGCCAAGAAATACTCTTTTTGTTGCTGTTGCTATTGCTTTACTGATGCTATTGCTGTTGCTTTGAGGGCCTCTGGGTAAGGCGAAATCCATGCCTGATTCTTCACAATTTGGAGATGCTGTCCCAGCTTTCACAAGGCCTTCAGTCAAGTCCTGTGGACATTCGTGCTGTGTTTGGGGTGTCTTAATGTCCTGTCTGCAGCAATTATGGGGAGTCCCGGGGAAGTGCTGCAAGGACTGCGAGTCCCCATCCTCACTGGGGGATCTCCCATGACTCATGTGGCCTCCTATGGACAGCTTCTGAGCAGGAATCGGGGAGGGATGAAAGGCAGAATGACACAAAAGAGCAGATGCTCTTGAGAAGGCAAATGGGGCACTTTATTTTATATTGCTGTGACAAAACAGCAAGGGTGACTCGAGAAATCAAAGGGATAGTGGATATACAAGTGATGATAAAAATAAATGTTTGTTTCTGACCAACCCCCTGGTGGACAACTCCAAGAGCATATCAAGATTAAACTGGATATCTGTAGGGAAAACCACCCAGAGTGAACATAGCTAGTGTGACAATATATTGCAGAAGGAACATCAAACCAGAACACATGAAATTCTTCAAAAGGATGACAACAGATTGTTCTCAGGTTGCTCAACCATAACTTCTCCTAAAGCACCTGGAGGTGCTCGCTCCTGGAGGCAAGACCAGGGATCCCACCATGGCTGGATTTCATACAGTATGGCAATTTCTAAGATTAAATCTTTGTTCCTTCCCAGAGTAGTCTGTCCTAAGCAAGCTCAAAACCAATTCTTATCTCCAGTTAATAGTAACAGATCAAGGAACTTAAAAACCCAGCAAGGATACCTGCCACAAGCCTGGCTTAAGGGTCTGCAAGTCTTTCTGTCAGGGCTGTTGCTTCCATGTGAAGACGGATGGCGTTACCCAACCTGTTCCACTGCCMGAGAGGCTTGGTGCTCCAGTGAGAGCAGGAGCATTGGGAGGGAGAACGGGCTGTGGGGAAGAGGGCAAGGAGGAGAGCGAGGAGGAAACCAGAGGCAGCACAGGATCTCTTCCCTTCTCACAGAGGTTGCAGTGCAGCCACCACCACCAGCAAGGCAGGATTTCCCCYTTTCCCAGCCTCATCCGCAGCAGGAAGCTGTGGCAGGTGACTACAAGTATTTAAATCCTAGAGTCAAACCCAAATCCGCAGTCAAACCCAAACATCTCCCCCGGCAAAACGCGCGGAACGCAGCGCGCCGCCAAGGACGGGGCTGCCGCCACGAACTTCCCGGCGCTCGCGCGGTGCATCGCGTGGCCCCTACACGCGTTTTTGCACCCAACGTGAATTTTCGGGGTCCGGGTGCTGTGAAGCAGGAGCCGCGAAGGAGCGAGGCTGCGGCGCGGGGCGGCGGCCGGGACTTGGCTCCGGGTCCCGGTCCCGCTGCGGCCCGCGGTCCCGGTGCCGCCGGGCGGAGCATCCGCCCGTCCCGCCCGCCCCGTGCCGTGCCGTCCCGCGCCGTCCCGCCCCCGGTTCGCGGCTCCTCCCCGCCCCAGGGCCCAGGTGTCCCCGGCGGCGGCAGCGCCGCGCGGAGCGGAGCGGAGCGGAGCGGGTGTCGCCGCGGAGCGAGGCGGTTCCGGGGCCGCCATGGGCCGGGCGGGCCCCTGAGCAGCGGCGGCTCCCGGTACCGGCTCCCGCGGCCATGTCCGGAGCCATGAAGTTCAGCGGGTACCTCAAGGTGCGCATCGGGGAGGCCGTGGGGCTGCAGCCCACCCGCTGGTCCCTGCGCCACTCGCTCTTCCGCAAGGGCTACCAGCTGCTCGACCCCTACGTGACGGTGAGCGTGGACCAGGTGCGCGTGGGGCAGACGAGCACCAAGCAGAAGACCAACAAGCCCACCTACAACGAGGAGTTCTCYGCCACGGTCACCGACGGCCACCAGCTCGAGCTCTCCGTCTTCCACGACACCCCCATCGGCTATGATGACTTTGTGGCCAACTGCACCCTGCACTTCCAGGACCTGCTGCGCTCGGCGGGCCCCGGGGACAGCTTCGAGGGCTGGGTGAGTTGCAGAAGCCGGYGCTGGGTTTCAGCGCGGATGAACGTGGTGCTCGTGGAGCGGGGGCTTGCCCTCGCATGCCCGCTGCGTCTGCTCGTGCCCTGGCGCGCGCACCAGCCCCACAGCAAGGGGCTCAAGGAGCCCAAAGGCTCAGCTCTTGTASCCTGAGGGTCAAACGCAGCCCTTGGCACTGTGCAACACCTGCAGCTTTGCCTGTCCCTGCCCTGCTTTGCAGAGCACGCAAGCGTGCAGGGGAGCGTATTTCTGCGCTTGCACAATTGCTTGATGTGCGTGCGCAGATCGGTTAGACTTGGAAATGGAAGGACGGGACCGGTCTTGTATGGAGCGTGCATGGCCCTTTTGCTTAAACGCGGTTTTACTTGCAGCTGGTGCTGGGTTATTTCCAGGGGGCCCAGGGAGCTCCCTTTATGGCTTGGTCCTAAGTGTAAATCAGTAAGCGCAGGGAATGATGTAGACTCTGAAGTTGTGCCCTTGCTTCCAGCACTGTAATGCAGGAGGTAGGGAGTACAGTGATTCAGTGASGGATTATAGTTGGCCTGGGTTTTGTTTTGTTTTATTTTTAATAAAGGAGAGTGAGGGAAAAGTCAAGCTCTGGATAGAGAGAACTYGGGCAGAAGGAAGGATACCTTGTTCTGGGCAGAGAAGATGCAGAAGAACTCGGAGTTCCCAAGGGTATGATAGGTGTTAACTTTTTATTAACTTTTCCAAGACCAGGAAGTTGAGTCYGTGTGGTCAAATAACCACCTTGGTCAAATCAGACGTGGAGGAAAGAGCTGACACGATAGCAGATCGGTATCTAGATTGCCTCGCCGTACAAAATGCTCCTGCTCCCTGTTCCCCGCTGGTGTCCGTGACTAAGACATGATGTTACATCTCTTGTGTGACTACAGGGAAATACCAGTCACGGGAGCACTTAATGCTCCTAATCTACGCTAATACATCCTAATGCTATCTCTTCTTCTTTTATGATGTGCTTAGGTACCGTGTGGTCGAAGCGGTCCAGCTGGGGGGGATTTGGGCAAGCAGGTGTCTGTCTGCTCTGCCCTTTCTCCTCTCGCCTCCCCCTCTGTCTTGCTCCATCTCTCACAGCGTGCGCTCAGAATCACGCGGTGACAGGGGAACAGCATCTTCTCCTGCTAATTTAATATTTCTTGATAAATTCAGCAGGACTGTTGCTGCATTTTGTGCAATCTGACGAGTAAGAAATGCTGCTCTGTATTAGCCTGAGGTCTGGGGACTGCTGGCACGCTGCAGGACACCAGAAGAGGGTTAGAGATTATATGCAGCATCTCTACCCCAGAACCCCTCTTTCTGCCCTTTTTATGACCCCCAGACAAGCACACATATACTGACATAAGCAAGGAACGAAAGGAATGGAGTGAAAGGGAAAATGAATGAAGCCTCAAAGTTTAACTTGGTTTATATGTGGCTATGCAGGAAAATCCCCGGGAAAGCAGTTAGGCTTTTTATGTAAAGGTGCATAATCCTTCAACACAAAATGATTGAGAAACTGTGAAAAAGAGTCCACTTTGCCTTGGGGTATAAAGGATATCTGAGGACATGCTGGCATCGTAAGAGGGAACAGGAGGGAGACCAGAGTCAGTGAGACTTCTGAATTCCTGGTAYCTGAGGGCAGAAAAGGACATTTGCTTGTTTTGGCTTGACATAGAATCTTAATACTCACTTTTCAGAATAAATGTAAGGACACAAATGTGTTGGTTAACTACTAATGCTTCCGATTTGACAGAATTCTGGCTGTCTCCCATTATCCATCCTGGGTCCCCTACTTGGGGAGAGCAGGAGGACAGTGTGGGGTTCCTTAGTGCACTTCCTTGACCAATGCACGGGCCTGCGGCCTTCAGGCTCAGCCCTTCTGTTGCTAAACTTGGG